ATCTTTTTCCTCTATTGTACAAAAGTAATTAATTTCCTTATTTGAGTAAAATTCATTTGTTTTGTCATAAGACAATGACTATTTTCACTGATATCAGTTTTTCAGAAGTCAATATATACTCTTACAGAATTGTAAACTATTCTAATCAGTAATAAAAAGTACGTCAAATAAAGTATTTTTTGGAGTGTTTTATTTTAAAAAGATTAAGATAAAAGAGGACATAACAAAACAGATCAGAACAGAACAATTTAAGCAACATAGTGTTTCACCACAAGAAAACCCGACATAACAATAGCTGCCATAGCATCTCTTTCCTTGAAATACTTGAGTATAATTTCATACACTATAGTATCAAACATAACAAGATAGTATAAAACCATTCAAGAGAATGAAAGTATTACAGAGTATTCAAAACCAACTAACAGAAAATGAACAATGGTTACTATATTATCTCCTTGTCCATAAAAAAATTTAAAATCCAGTAAGATACAACATGATAAAATTGATGGAGACAGAAGAACAAAAGCTTGGTAGGACTTCAAAACAAGATGATATTAAATCAGCAGTGGTTATTATAATGTCTTGTTTTCTTCAAAATACCTGTTCATACTATCACAGACAATAAAGCCAAACAACCCAGAATAAAACCATTCCAACTAATGAATGAAAACATTATAAGGCTTCAAAACAATATAATGTGGAATCATGGTTATCACATAATTTTATGTATTCTTACCATTTCTTACACTAGGGAAACTGGACAGTATTTATACATGTAAGTTTGATTTATTTCGCTTATGAATATGGTCTCAAGCTACGTCCTTTTATTTATAAATATCTCAATGTGATCTTTCTTTATGAGTAGTACTCCATTGTATAAAAATACTACAACGTTTTCTCCATCCTCAGTTGATGGACATTTAGGTTGTTTCCAAGATCTGGCTATTACAAATTGTGCTGCTATAAACATGGATGCACATATATCACTGCGGTTATGATGCTTTCAGTTCTTCTGGAAATATGCCGAGAAGTAAAATAGCTGGAACAAATGGGGCTTCCAGACCCAGCTCTTTGAGAACTCTCCAGACTGACTTCCACAATGGTTGCACCAGTCTATGCTCCCACCAACAGTGCAGGAGAGTTTCTTTTTCCCCACAGCCTCTCCAGCATTTGTTGTTGGTGGTTTTCTTGATCCAGGCCATTCTTTCATTCTTTCACTGTGGTTTTAATTTGCATTTCTCTAATGAGTAATGATGATGAACATTTTTTCACTGATTGACCAGTTCCCTGGATTGAAAATGAATTATTTTTAATAACATTAGAGAATTGGTTTCAACCATCAGGTCAGAAAACTAAATAATATCTCCTGCTAGACTTCCAAATGCAGAAACAATGAATTGTTTATTGAAACTTGATCAATTTTTATGTCAAGTGTTTTACTTGAAGTTATTTTTAGTCTGTATTTATTTAAATTCAGCTATACTGTTGACGGTCAATAAAAGGCAGCTTATCTTCATATGCTGGCTCTGAAGGAGTTATTTCTACATAATTTGCTTCTGCAGTACCATTTGCTCTTAGGCGAGCCACAAATAATAGCAGGAAAACTGGGGCTGTGGAATCAGACCAACATGGTTCAAATCTCAATTCTGCAATTTGCTGCTTATATAGATTTCAGAAATCTAGTTAACTAATCTAAGTCTTAATTTATTTTCAGTAAAATAGAGAATAATTCCTACCTTGACAGTATATTGTCAACATTGACGTATATATTCATCAAAATATTTAAAATATACATGCATTTTATGATAAATTGGCAGGATGCAACATGGTAAACAGAATATGATAAAATAGAATTTACCATCATCTAAGAAAAATAATGAGAAAAATCATATATGATAAGAGGTCAAAGTGGAAATATAAGACTAACTCCCCTGTTTGATAGCTATAACAGTTTTTTACTCTGCAAGTAGAAATGAAATCCTTCTATTTTTTATCCAGTTATTCTTATAACCCTCAGAATTATTTAGGATATAGTTTGAGGTATTTATTATTTAGAGATAGCATATCATCTCTTTACAGCTTGCTGGCTTTCTAAAATCTAAAAATATTGAAGCTGAATCAAGATTTCTAAATGCAGTATGATTACTTGGCCTCTATCTTTATCCCTTCCCTTGGGTTATAAGATGTCCTTACCTAACTATACTCAGTGGGCCTTAAATGAACTATAGCTGGTCTCGCTCTCCTAAATGAAGAGGTAAAATTAATGAGATACACTGTCCTCCAAAATCAGATGGCATTAGACATTGTAACAGCAGCACAGAAGGGTACTTGAGTAACTGTAAAACCTGATGTCATACATACATTGTTGATCCTTCTGATGATATCTCAATAGTTATTCATGGCAAAACATTGATATTAGATGGCAAAACAATGACATGTCAGATTCTAAAATTCCCTGGACCTTATCCTTATCGTGCTTGTGGGAAGCCATTACCAGCTCCTCTTGGTGGAAATCTTTGTTAACTGTACTCATAATTATTCTGTTGATTCTATTATTTGGCAAACTTAATTGTTTCTTTGGCTTTGTCTCCTCCATTCTTAAAGCTGTATGCCTACCCAAAATGAAAATGCCTGATATCGTCCAGCATCTTTCAACTGACCCACTGTAGAGTATCTCTGACTGCCAGTCAGTAACTACGACCCCTTCAGCCTGAGGAAGCCAGATCAGTTATTGCCCATTACTGTCCCACAGCAGTTCAGGATACTTCTTTAGAGGGGGGAATGTTACAGGCAGCTGAGTTAATTAGAAATATTATAGGCAGGCAAACTGAGCTAGGCTCTCAAAAGAGCCAGTGCAGAAGATCAAATACCTTGCAATTATGGGGAGACAGACACCTCTTGCTGTGGGCCAGATCTCAAAACAAAAGGCAAAACAAATGTAGCCACACCCTAAAGATAAACAGCAGGGATTGATATTCTAAATAGATATCTTTCACCTTGAGGAAGCCAGAGGAGCTAACCCAACCCCTACAGGCACAGGCCTGGTCTCTATTCAAACCCACTTGTTTAGTGACTTGTTTCCCCATTTGATCCAATTTAATCAATTTTACCTGAGCAATTGCACTTGTAATCTTAGAGGTTGACCATAGTTCTGGCTCACCTTGCAAGTTTTTCCCCACCTTGGACCCACTTCACCTTGTAGTTTTGCTCTATAAGAATCCCTAAAAAAGGCCAGGTCCTTGACAGTCCGCTTGGGACCCCTTCTGTCTCTCTCTCTCATTCAGAAGCTTTACCTCAGTAAATACTCTGCTCTTTAAAAAAAAAAAAAAAAAAAAAAGATTTCTGAGTAATTGGTTTCTGTTTCTCTTGTATTACAGTTACTTTTGCTGTAACAAGCTTGATTTGAATCAACTAGATTATCCTGCTCTTACGTTCAGTGGATAGGACTTTAAAGAAGACATAGCAGGAATGGTTTGTCTACAAAATATCTGGGGCTACAGTTTAAAAAACTTGAACACTGGATCTGACTTAATGACTGGGAGCTGAAATCATTTGAAAATTGTTCATTTATATGTGTAGTGCCTATCACAGACTGTTTTAAAGACTGGAGCTGTAATCTCAACAACTTGAGAGGCTGAGGCAAGAGACTGCAAATTTGTCACCAGGCTGGCCAGCCTATTTCAAAATAAAAAATAAAAGAGCTAGGGATGTAGCTCAGTGGTAAAGCAGTTGCCTACCATGAATGGGGTTCTAGGTTCAGTCCTCAGCAATACACACACACACACTCTGACACAAGTGGAGCTGCAGGATACAACATCTACACATGGCCTTTCTACATGCTTTAGCTCTCTTTTAAGCACAGAGACTTAGGACTACTTGGGCTTCTTAGATGGTGACTGGGGTATCCAGACACAGGTATCCCATCAGACAGAGCAGAAACTGCATTGCCTCTTATGATCACCTTGATATGCATATACCTTATCTCCTATGTGCTCTATTGGCTGAAGCAGTCAGGACTTTGACAGATGAGGGGACATAGATTCTGCCAGTTGGTAGGAAGGAGACAGGATCACATTACAGAAAAAAAAATGGGATAGAAGGTATTGTTGTGGCCATCTGTGCAAAATAAAATTTGAACAATGAATGACTGTAGTGGCTTAATTTACATTTCAGTATGAAATAAATTATGTTCTGTGGTTGTCAAGGTTATTTCCTTATAATTGAGCAATTGTCTCTGTGCCACAGTGGGCTAGTCACACACAATTGTCTGTGAGATAGGCATTTCTTTTATTCATTTTTCCTAATGTTTTATTTTCCTAGTGTGGGTCCGTTATCCCACTGATAAAACTTTTAATATTTAATCTATTCTCAATTTCCAAGTCATTTTCTCAGGTGCCTGTCAATTCATTGTAAATGATTAATTTAAAAGGCCTTTGAAGCATGACTGCATCTGGCTAAGACAAATCTAAGTGTCAACCTTGGAAAAATCCAGTGACATTCAGCACTATTCCTTCAAGCATAGGGAATGTGTTTTTGCATCACATGGTGTACAGTATTTTGTCAAAAGAAAGCCAAGAATTGTGCCTTTCCATTCAACACTTGAAGTGTTGTTTGAAAGGGCTGCCCCTTTAAGGTCAGGCAGACTTGTTTTAATCCTAGTTTCCTCATTTAATTTTGTGAAATTGAACAAGTTTTTTAAAAGCATGGATTAGTTTCCTCACTAAACACAGAACCTCAACAGTATCCAAAGTGATGTCTTTTTGCCTGACCATTGCAGGTCACTATAAAAATTATATACAGGTATGCTAAAATTTTGGCAATGTATTCTATGTAAGAAGTAAAATATAAAATATAGAAGAGAATAATCTTTTTTTTCTCCCTTGGAATCACCCCACTTTAATCCTTAGTTATTGTAATAATCAGTGTAAAGATGAAAAATGTTTATTGCATCATCTTAAACTCTTTAATTGACCTGGTTTTACTGTCTTTCTGTGTGGCAGGTGGTGAAATTTACCAAATCCTTTGAATTGATGTCCCCAAAGTGCAGCGGTGATGCTGAGAACAGGTAGGGCCTGTGGGAATTATGTTTTCTTTTGATGTTCTTTAGCCCTTGATGTTAGCAGTGTTGCCTAAATCTCTGAGAATATGAGTTGGTCTTTTTCTGTATCAGCAAGTGCAGTCAAATGTTGCTCTTTTATATTTCAAAGCTTAAATAAAAAAAATTGAGATGAAAAATGAATTAGGATACATCTAGTTTGCAAACAAGTTTTTAAGACCAAGTTTTGCATGGTACTTTTAATCTAATTAAAATTTTGTCTTCAGTTTTTAGTGTCCATTTTTTCCCAATCTTATAACGATTTGAAGTAGATCTTAAGTTATTCTGATGACTTCTGAATATGAAATCCAAAATCCTTAGGATGTTTAATATGGAGTAACAGTGATGCAAATCTTTTTTTTAAATCACCAGTTTCAGTTTCTTATAGCACCAAGAAAACTGAAACTGCCAATAATACAGTCAATTTTATTTGCTTATTTATTTTAATTGGGAATTAAATGTGAGATCTTCATGCTGCATATATCTTAAATCCTTTTTAATTTTAATTTGATTTTTGAAACAAGGTCTCATTAAATTGCTAAGTTGCTCAAGTTGTGAACCTTCTGGCCCAACCTCCAAAAATGCTGGAATTACAGATGTATGGCACCATCCCTGACTTCCATTTTCACATATTCCCTAATTACATAGAAAGCCTAACTTTTTATTTTATTCTGACCCTTTCTTTCTCTTCCTCCTTTTAACTTGCTTATATTCGGCCTGTACCTTCCTTTGGGAAATACAGTGAGAGTTACTAGTAATTTGCTGTTTGTCTTTCTTGTCATCTATGAAAAAGTAACAGTAAAAGTAAGGATTGGAGTAACCAGTAATTATCTCTTATCTTTGTTCTGCCCTAGACTTGCTCCAAAAATTGCCTTAACTTTGGTTATCTCCCCAGGACGGGCTAAAAATAATGAAACTGACTAAGTCCAGAGCTCTGGAGAAAGGCAGATAGAATGCTCAAGACAGTGTGAGCAGTATGAGATGATGGTGACTCTGACACCTGTACAAAAATGTAAAGCACTTCTGTTCAGTGCGTGCTGAATGCACTAGATATGATGTTAAGTGCATTTGTGTGTGCTTAATCCCCGAAGCCATCTTTTACTGTAGATACTGTTCCTCCCGCAGCACAAAGGCAAGCACTAAGCTTCTGCAGGTTTAAATAACTTTCAAGGTGCTGCCAGCAAGCACTAACAATCAAGATCACCTCTCTCATCCTCTGAACTTTGATCCCATTGCCTCACACAGTTTAAAATATGGTACCTGAGTCCATGTGGTACAAATTTCTTGACAATGTTTCCCAAATCTGGTTAATCAATCAGAATACAAATGGAGAATTTAATAAAAGTTAAATTCTCAAAATGCACTCTGAAAAATACTGATCCAAAATGTTGAAAGTAAAGTCCTATGAATCTATATATTTAAAATATCTTTTAAAGTATAATTTGACTTTTTATATCTATTATTGCCTTTAAAATTTCAGAAAATAGAAATTAAAATCAAGTTACTTTATGTCAAGTGTATAAAGGCCTCTATTATGTACTATTTAATTCCATTCATGTAGTTTTCTTGAAAAATCAGAGTTACAAAAAATATAGAGTAGATTAGTAGTTGCCAAGAGCTGGAAAAAGAAACGTTGACTCCAAAGGGTACAGGGGTTTTGGTTTGTGCTGGAGCCCGTCTTGCTTGCAGTGATGGTCTTACAACTGCATTTGTCAAGTCTTGCAGGATTCTACACTAACAGAGTGGCTTTGATTCTATAAATTGTATCTTAAAATGGAAGTTAAAGTAAGAAAAAAAAAACCTTTTATAAGAGATTTTTTTATTCATGCAAGTGTATTTATGTTTACACACCCGTCTAATGTCAGACAATCTGTACTTAACAAAGATATTTTAAATACAGGAAATTATAAGGTATAATCAGAATTTTCCCTAAACAGAATGTTGTAAAATAACATGAAATACCCTAGGAAAAATATCTATTGATGCTAATTTCTTTAGCTAATGACAACCTTATATAAATTATATTTCTCATACTTGGGAAGGAAACTTTATGGAGTTTTAAAACACAACCTTTGAAATATTATTGCTTTATGATTTTTAAAAAATAGTTCTGTATATATTCTTGTGGTCATTTAAAAGTTAAGCATTTCTGGCCTTGTGATTATTTTTAATGCTGAAATAACTTTCAAGTCAAAATGAAATGACCCAAGGCCCAGCCTGCTCTTGGAAAACTTCCTTATTATAAAATAAGAAAGAAAAAACTGCAAGGTTTTCCTTAAAGAGACCTGTAAGATGTGTCATTGAACTTTGACATTATGAGATAGTCCTCTTTCTCATTGTATTTATGGCTTTTAAATTAATGGAAAATGTTCATTTATCTCAGAAGGCCTTTCCTTTATTGTCTAGTAATTTTTCTCTTGTAGATATAGATTTCTTCTGTCATTTATTGGAAGTTAAAGGAATAAAGACAAGTGGCTTTCGACACTAGCATGTACTTTACCAGTGTGGTGGAAGGGACATTGAAACAGACTATGGGTCTACAAATCACAGCCTGTTCTCAACACATTGTAAATCTTTTCTTTAACCTTTCATCGCTTAACATCTGTCGATGTCCGCTCCCGGCCGGCAGGAAGGACACACGACAAAGTCTGGTAGTGGACAACCTTTTCTTTTATTTTTCTTCTCCGTACAGCCTGCCCTGGGTTCTCCCAGCTGAAGCCTCCTCTGGTCCGCTCCCCGCGGCTCCTTTTGTGCTTCAGTCTGCCCCAAAGCCTCTACCGGTCCGCTCTCCGCGGCTCCTTTTGGGCTTCTACTTCCGGGCTTCTATCTGGCTTCTTCTTCCGCCCAGGGGTGGCACCGGTATATATACGGGTACAGTGTCCAATCATGTTAAAGTAAGCAAGGCAAGCTGATTGGCTAACATCATCAGTTGCCAGGCAGACTATATTGTTGAGCGGGTTGTTTACGCGGTAAGCAGGAAGCTAACATATTCGATGGGAGGGGTAATCTACCTCAGGCTTTGCTCTTTCCTACAGGCCTCACGTCCGCCAAGTGAGGCGACCGGGCTCGGGGCTGCGGCTCCCAACATCTCCCCCTTTTTTATTTTTTATGAATGTGCGCATCGTAGCCCTTCCTGGACTGGGTGCAGAGGCTTATGCCCTATGCGTAGGCCCACCGTAGGTCCTTGGCTTAGACCCTGGTCGGCCGTCCCATGGTCTGCCAAGGCCCTGAGGCCCTCGTCCTTTTTCTAGGGCCAGGCACAAACTGGACGGAACCTGGATGCACACAAGCTTGCACTCATTCTCTCTCCGTAAAGAAAATCCCCTCGGAGAGAAATTTAGACCTAGGCAGCATCTAACAGTCCAGCGGCTTACGTGCAGGATGGGGTAGGGCCTGGCTTAGGTTGAGTCGCACCGGGGGAGTACGCTCTTACCCGTCATTGACTCTCCTACCCAGCTATGTCATAATTTTTTAGAGGAGGAGTGTGGGAAGCTCACCGCCCCTAGACTCGGTCGTAGGCTAGGCGAGCGAGCCATGCATATGCCTGAGGATCTTCTTGTCCATTTCGGGCTACCGCTATTTCTATTCATCTTGTTGGTTGGTCTGTGATGGATCTCCAGTAGGGCAGGTCTGATCTTTAGTCGAGGGCTTTGTTGTCCGTGTCAGTCTCTCCGGTATCCACAGTGGTTCTCGTCCCGGTTCCTGTGGGAAAACACAAACTGCGCCTCGGTTCCAGCTGACCACTGGATCCGGGCCCATCCATTGTCCTGTCAGGACATCTTTCCACTTCACCCACCCTTTATGGTTGGGGGAAGGGTTGCAGTGCTCCACAGCTGGGGAGCGATTATCATTATTTAAATTTAAAAAATTGTGTGTGAATAGTGCCATGGATAATCGTGCCTTTGGGGCCAGGCCTTGGCCTACTCCCCCTTTTTGTTTTTTATTTTTTATTTTTATCTTTTTCGTTTTTTTTTTTTTTTTTTTTTTTTTTTTATTGGTACCAGGGATCGAAAATCCCCAGCCCCCGTTTATGCCGCTGAGCTAAATCTCTAGCCCCCGTTTTTTCGACCGGCGTTTTTCTCAGCCTGCTCGGCAGAGAACTCTGCGTACCAGGCTCGCCAATCCAGGTAACTGCCCGAGGGCAGACACGCCTTTGCCAGCTGAATCCAGTCCGCGGGGGTGAGGGGCCCAGAAGACAGATTCTCCAGCATGGCAATGGTGTAAGGCGCAGTCGGCCCAAAGGTTGTAACTGCATTTTTAAGTTCTCTAATCTGCTTTATCTCAAAAGGCTCCCATGCATTATGTCCCTGGCCCATAGCTACTTGTACAGGAAATATCCCGTAGGGGCCACTATCTATCCCAGGTGGATGTACCTCATGAGACAAGCGTCCCCCCTGCCAAAGCCGCCTGTAAAAATACCGACCCGCCGGCGGCGGAGCATAAGACGGCGGCCGTGATTGGGCGGAAAATGGGGGCCCGTGCATCACTTCCTGTTCTGGCGAAAGGGGAGAGAGCTCCCAGGCGGCCGCCTCGTGGCGAGGAATCGCCTCCCTCTCGCGCCGCCGGGGAGCGCTCAGGAGCTCTCTACTCCTCCGCAGACCAGGTTGAGCAGAGCGCAATTCGCGGGGCAACGCTGGAAAAGAACCCTGCGACTCCTTATTGAGCGATTTAGGCTCCTGACAGCTGGTCTCTTTGGCCTCCTTGCCATTCAACTTTCCCTCGTCCTCGGAGTCAGACGACTCCGAGGCTAGAGCCCTGTCCTCCTCCTTAGCATCCTTGTTCCCCTTGACGGAACCCTCTCGGGAGCTCCCTGACTGGGCCTGCTCAGATACCCTGCGTACTTTTGTAAGCTCTTGAGAGCTTTCTCCACAACCACCCTCGCTCTTAGTGTTGCTACCTAACATGTTTCCCATCTTTTAATATGTTACTCACCGCGTGAGGCCCAAGGAATCCGCCACTTACGCGTGAGC